AGGGGATTTTCCCCACTTCCCAGATCCAATGGCGGGGGGTAGAAAGTAAAGAATTATAGACAGAAAATAAAAAAAAAACTAAGATATAAAACTAATTTTAAAAGATTTTTCGGGAATTGATTTAAGGCTCCATGCAAAACGTTTGCACCCCCTTTCTTTTTTTTTAGGTAAATTTTTTATACATTTTTCAATAAACATGTTATACAGACATACTCTTTAAAAACCTTAGCAATTATCAAAAACTTTTATTTTTTCATCCCCCCCCCCCTCCCCCTACCTATAACACCCCCCCCCCCCCCCCCCCCGCCATCCAACCCCCTGACCTCTTCTGCTCTGCATTTCCGTTCATTTCGGAGATTGTAACCCTAAAAAAAAAAAAAAAATATGTTTTCCATTTAGCAATGTTAATCCCCCATAACCTCTAAGGCTAGCCTTGCCCTTTTTTTAATTTTCCCTTTTGGGTTCCATCTTTATAGTGACTCTCCATTTTATCTTCATTCAAATAAAAATCCTCCAATTACATATTGACCCCACCCTACCACCCAGTCCTTTTTTCGCACCCCCGCTCCTCCAATACTGGGGTATCACCCCTTTGCTGCATTCAAATATAAAAATTAAACAAAATTTCTTTGTATTTTTTTAATGAAAGCTTAAAACTATAAAAAAGGAAAATTCGGGCCCTAGAATACAACCTCTTAATTTAAATAAAGTTTTAAAAAATTTTCCCCCTCTCTGTATTTTAAACACTCCCCCCTATTTATATTTTCCGTGGATTATTCTATTACATTTTCCTCTATCTTTTTTTTTGCATCTATTAGTATTTCCTATGTTCTCTTTCCCATTTTTCTATATATGGAGGACTTGTATCTGCATTTATTTCAGTGAGAAACTTATATATTTTTAGAGGGGTCGTGTTTTCCCATCTCCCCCGTATCTTACCTAATAAGGTGCTCAAAAGGATTCCAATCCTCTCTTATTCTTAAAGGCTTTGGGAAGCTTTCCTATAAAGTGTTTCACTTGGAAATAACGCCACTCATCCATTCTCGTAAAAACTTCTCCTTTTTTTTCAAATTCCTTAAGTGAACCCATTTCCTCCCCCACCATTATATCCCTTAATTGTGCATCTTCCTTCTTAATCCACTTCCCTGTGATACCTTCTTTGCCCGGGGGGGAAAAAAACTCTGTGGACTTTAAGGGCATTAACAATGAATTAAATTCCCATTTCCATCTGTTTGTTTAAAACATCCCAAACTCTTAAAACATTAAATGTTAACAAACGTTTACTGTCTGCTAATCCTCTGTATTGTGAAGGTAACCATACAATTATACTTAATTTAGCATTAGTATATTTTCTATTTTAACCCAGCTTTTCTCATCTTTATATGTCCAGTCAAAAATTCTCTCCATTATTACTGAGTTATAATATCTTTTTAAATCTGGGACTCTCAATCCTCCTTTCTCTTTATTTCTACATAAAAGTTCCTGGCTTATTCCTCCAAATAATTCTTATTAACATTTTTTTTGTTGATCTAAAGTATACTTCTGGTAGTTTAATTGGTATCATTTGAAATTTATATAATATTTTTGTAACAATCACCATTGTTATCAACTTTATACGACCTATCCATGACCTATGATGGGGTTCCCCTCCTAATTTCCTTAGTTCATCCCTGATCTCATTTAACAATGGGATATAATTCAATTTATACAAGTTCTTGGATGATACAGTTATTCCTAGATATTTTCAATTCTCTTTCCCTCCAAACACAGGGAAATTCCTCCTGTAGCCTATTTTTCTCTCTATTTGGAAGATTTATGCTTAAAATTTCTGTTTTTGTTGGGTTTAATGTTTAAATTTGACATCTCCCCATATTCTTTCAGTGATTTCATTAAATTTGGCAATGTTATCCTTGGGTTTCCCACATAGAACAGCATGTCATCTGCATAAGCTGCCACCTTATGCTCCATATCTCCTATCCAAATTCCTTTTATATCTATATTATTCCTTACTGTAGCCAAAAGAGATTCCAATGATAAAACATATAGCAATGGAGACAAAGGGCATCCCTGTCTAGTTCCGTTCTGCATCCCAAAATACTCTGACAATTCCCCATTAACCATGATTGCTGCAGAGGGTTGACTATATAATTTCCTTATCCACTCTCTCATTCGAGGTCCCATCCCAAATACTTCCAATGTATCCAACATATATCCCCAATCTACTCTATCAAATGCCTTTTCAGCATCGATAGAGAGTACCACCGCAGGGATTTTCTCTTGCCTACTTTTTTGTATGAGAAACAGAGATCTCAATCTGTTATCTCTACCGTCTCTCCCTGGGACAAAGCGTACTTGGTCTATGTGTATCCATTCCGACATTAGGTCTTTCAACCTGTTTGCCAGAACTTTTGCATATAGTTTGGTATCTGTGTTTAATGAGGAAATCGGTCTGTAACTTGAACAGTGAGTATCATCTTTACCTTCCTTATGTATGAGAACTACATGGGCTTGTAGGGATTCCCTCCTCATTTCCATCTCTCCTCCCAATGCATTCATATATATCCTCAGTTTAGGTACTAATAATTCTTTATATTTTCTATAAAATCTCACTGTGTATCCATCAGGTCCTGGACTTTTCCCAGCTATAGTGCTCTTTAATGCTAAGTGTATTTCCTCCTGCGTTATTGCTGATTCTAGGGTTTTAATTGCTCCTCACTTAATTTTGGTAATCCTGCCTTTTTTAAGTATGTCTGTCCTTTTTCTATTTTTCCTACTTCATCTTTACTTATGGAGCTGTGGGGGATACTATTATATAGCTTATTATAATATTCTTTAAACACTTTAGCTATATCTTTAGTTGAATACATTAAATCTCCTTTGTGGTCTCTTATTTTCTCTATATAGTTCCTAGATTTTTTTTTCTCTGAGCCCTCATTAAATACTTTCCTGGCCTATCTCCCCATCTGTATCTCTCACTTATCATTTTATTGAACACTCTTCTCTTAGCTTCTTCCAGAAATTTATTCAATTCTTCTCTTTTATTTATTACCCCCCTGCATAATCTCTTTTGTTACTTTATGTTTATGTATCTGCTCTAACTTCCAGAGTTCACTAAAAAGCGTGTTTATTTTTTTCTCTTCTTTCCCTCTTCTTTTTTTTCTCCAATCGCTATCAGGATTCCTCTAAAATAGGCCTTATGAGCCTCCCACACACTGTTGCTACGGACACTTCCCCAGAATAATTTTCCTAAAAAAATTGCTCTTTTTTAATTCTTTGATCTACCTCTGAATACTGGAGAAATGTCTCATTTAACCTCTATAATTTCCCCCCAATCTGCTCATTTCCCCATAATAATTGCATTGTGACAGGGGCATAGTCCGATATTGACATCACTTATATTTTTACTTTGACCAGAGACCCGATAAGTCAATGGCCCAGCAATATATAATCCAGTCTTGAATACATCTCATGTGCATGAGAATAAAACGTATAGTCTCTGTCCTTCATGTGCTTAATTCTCTATATGTCTACAAGTTGACATTGGTATATCATGTTTTTTCAAGGATTTCAGAGACCTACTACCATTTCTCTGCACAGGGAATGTCATATCCATCTGGGGATCCATGCAGAGATTGAAATCATCTGCCACAATTAAATTGCCTTTTTTGAAATTCATTAACTTCCTCAGAATATTTTTTAGGAGTACCTCTGGTTTCTTATTCGGCAATAAATCTTTGCTAATGTACAGTGTCCTGTAATTTTCCCTTCAGAAACAGAAATCTGCCTTCCGGATCTACCAATCTGTCTTCCAGCTTAAACCTTATATTTTTCGGAAAACCTATTGCCACTCCCTTGGCACGTTTAATTGGGGGAATCTGCATAAAACCACATTGGATAATATCTGGAATTTAATTTCACATTTGATTCTTGCACCAAATGTGTCTCCTGTAAAAAAAAAACACTGAAGAAAATCTATTTTGAATTTCTTTAACAATCCCAAATCTCTTCCCAGGGCTATTTAAACCCTTTAACATTATAAGTCACAAAGGGAATCTCTTCCATTCTTCTCCTCTCCACACCTCTATCTTCCCCATCTCTTCTCTCTTCATCTTTCCTCCACATCTTCCCCTTTGATCTCTAGGATTTCTCCAAACTGATGTTTCTCCCACTATTTCGCAGAGTCTTAAACTACCTATCCCCACCCCATACCCTCCTCCCGCCCCTCCTCCACCCCTCCTCCCTCCCTCCCACTCCTCTATCTTCTTCCAAAGCTCTTCTTTATCCCGTAAATTATGGAATTGCACTATTACATCTCTTGGCTTTTCTTTTCTGTCTTCTTGTATATATTTTCCTATTCTATATACTCCCTCCATTTTGAGAGGCTCTGTTATAGTTCTATCCATTATAGTATTCAGCAATCTCGTTATTATTCCCGTCAAATCTTCTCCTTGGGAGATCTCTGGAGAATAGGAGATCCTTAGATTGCATCTCCTATTCTCCTGGTCTTCCAATTTATATAACAGATTTCTTTGTTCCTTTCTAATTTCCATAGCCCGTTTTTCTAATTTCTGTATAATTTGGGCATGTTTATCTAGTTTTTCTTCCGTCTCCTCCACCCTTGATAATATTTGCCCCTCTTTATGTAATTTTGCCAGTTCCTGTTTTAGGGATCTTTCAAGTCCTTTAAACATTTCTGCTATTTCTGCTTTAGTAGGCATCTGTGTGAGCTCTCCTCTTGTTCTTCTACTTTATCCATATCCACTTCTTCTTCCATATGTTGACTACCTGTTAGCTATTCCCAGGGATAGTCTGGAACATTCCCCGCCATTTTCCCTCTCACCTCTTACACTTATTCCCTGTTGTCTCTCTGGAGTTTTTTTCTCCTGTGAGGGTATATATTTTTTAATTGACCCTGTTTGGGAAGCCTTAGGCCCTCCTCCCTTTGATACTTTGTTTTTCATGCTGTCAGGGACTATTTCAATTTTCTTTCTGATTTTCCTCTAAGACCCCCCAGGTGAACCCCTCCTCAGTTTAAACATATAGTTCAATACATACAGTTCAGTTCCCATGCAATATATTAATCTCAGTGCTTTTACACAGCTCTCACTTACCCTCTTGTCCCCAATACAGCTTTTCCCCCGTATGAGATATCTGTCATATATGAAGAAGGGGCTTCTCTGAAAAACATTTCCCACACTCTGAACAGGTATACAACTTCTCTCCTCCGTGTAAGATCTCTGATGTGTGTGAAGACTGGGCTTCACTGAAAAGTATTTCCCGCACTCAGGACAGACATATGGCTTTTCACCTGTGTAAGCTCTCTGATATATATAAAGTCTAGACTTATCTGAGAAAACATTTCCCGCACTTAGAACAGGGATATAGCATCTTCCTCGTGTGAGGTCTCTGATATATATGCAGGCTGGACTTCTGTGAAAAACATTTCCCGCACTCTGAACAAGGGTGTGGCTGCTCCCTCTTGTATTATCACTGGTATATATAAAAATAGGACTTACATGAAAGACATTTCCTGCACTTGAAACAGGAATACTTCTCCCCCATGTGAGACCTCTGGTTTCTATGGGATTGAACTTCTCTGAGAGACTTTCCCGCACTTTAGGACCTTTACTCCAAGTGAGGGGTGAGGCAGCTCCAGGTACTCTCTTTTGGGGAACATTGCACTCAACATTCCCCCCTCACACAATGAGTGGATTGGATTGCAGGGGGGGTTCACCCAGCCCGTTTCTGCGTCCAGCTGCCACGGTCCTGTGTGCAGGAGGAAGAGGGCCGGTGTGTCTCCTTTGCTCCAAGAAACACAGGCCGGCTCCTCTGCCTCCCAGAGCTCCCTTGCAGCAGATCACCTGATCGCTCGGCATCCACTGAGCTCTGGGGAACACACAGCACCGTGACGAGAGCACAGGAAGTCCCGCCGCGATGGCCGCCACTCCCGGAGGTCCTCGGTCCACGCTCCCCACCAGGCAAGCCCCCCCTCTTCCCGGCTAGTCTCTCCAGGGCTTCCCGCACATCTCTACCCTTCTCGGAAAGACACTGGAGGTGCTTGGGAGCTGGGAGCCCTCAAATCGAGCTCCCGCTCCAAGCCATGGTTAGGCTCCTTCCTCACTAGCATTTTTTTTTACTCTAAAAAATGCTGGTAACATTTTTTAGTAGCCATTGAGTTGCATTCAGAAGCATTTAGGAGCGTTAGCATATTATTAGTGTTTTTATAGTACATGTATAGGGAAAAAAAAGCTAGAAAAAAAGCTGTTAGGAGCGTTTAGTGTTTTTTTTCAGCTGGAAAAACGTTTTAAAACACTATAAAAACAATTTTGACACTGAAGCTCAAAAAATGCTAATAGTCTAAAGTAGTGTGCACGGACACATAGTATAATGCTATTTACCTTATAGGAGCAGAAAATGCTAATAACAGCTTCTAAGAGCTTAAAGAAATGCTAGTGTGCATGGAGCCTTAAAGCGGAGCTCCACCCAAAAGGGGAAGTTCCGCTTTAAGGACTGCTCCCCTGCTCCCCATTAAAGATTGACAACTTTGGGGGGGCGGGGGAACCCGAATTTCACAGGTACCCGCTCCCATTTTTGGTCCGAAACAGACAGAAGGTGTCCTCCCTCCCAGTTCCACATGACAGGTCCCAGAAGACTACAGGACCATTTATGAAGCGCATCGCTACTCGCGCGTGCGCAGTAGGTACCCAGCTGTGAAGCCGCAAGCCATCACAGCCGGGTGTCCACACTGAAGATGCTGGCCTCCTGGAATCCAGGACGGCCAGTGAAACGGGCTGCGGGGGACACACCGCGGGACCGAGGGACAGGTAAGAGGCTGTTTTTTAAAAGTCAGCAGATACAGTTTTTGTAGCTGCTGACGTTTATTTTTTGACAGGTGAGTGGAACTCCGCTGTAATGTTTTTCATAAATACTCTATAAAGCATCAATCCACGCAAAACTAATATTTCAGTAGTTGTGAGTATTCATTAGTGGGTAGGATTATTGGTTTTCATGACTCTTTCATCTCAGAACTCCCACTGTGGTCTTTACAAAGTCAAGTGACCTTTCTTTTCTTCCCCATCTTCCTCTTCTACTTTTCTATCTTTGTGGTTTTAGGTTTGTGAACAGTCTGGTTTATTACGGTTTGAGTCTGAACGTCGGCAGTTTTGGGCTGGACATTTATCTCACCCAGCTCATATTTGGAGCAGTAGAAATTCCAGCTCGCCTTGGATCCATGTTCACAGTGCAGATTATAGGACGGAAACCTAGCCAATCAATGTGTTTATTACTTGGTGGAACAGTTTGTCTTATAATAACAGCAATACCGAAGAGTAAGGATTTTTTTTAAATTATCGTTTTTCAGTTCCTTGATGCTACATAAAAATTTGCAACACTCATACGGTATAAAAAGTTATTGGGAACTGTTGTTTTACTAGCAGTATAAATTGTATCTTTGTATTCTAGTTTATACTTTATGTCTATAGCCATGGAACGATGGAGGTCTCTAGGGGGACAGAAACGTTGGCTTCTACTATTGGAATAAACTTAGTCAAGCCCCTTTTTGGAACTGTCCTGTCATTACAAAACACTATACAGTTATTTTTCCAAATAAAATATATGCTTCATTTCAAACAAGATTTTGTACTAACTTATTTTAATTAAATTGCCTTTTTTTTTATGAAAGCAATGTATAATTTTTTTTTCGGTTTCTCTAGCATTGCCTGTTGTAATCACAGTGCTTGCCGTGATTGGAAAATTTGCAATTGCAGCTTCATTTTCTATCTGTTACATATATGCTGCAGAACTATTTCCTACAATTATCAGGTGAGTCACTTAGAGCAACCTAGTGCAGTAATAAATCAAAATTTGGGAGTATGTACAGCATACCATTCTCCTCAGCTGATAGTTACTTACTCTCTCTAACCAGGTTAAAGCGAACTCCAGGAAGTCAACCACTTTGTAAAATGTGCCAAATTACTACAGGTTAAGCTGAGCAAGATGCATGTCATCTATTTAATTTACAGTTTACATTTTTTTACTAACTGCTATTGTTATACTTTCGGGCGGGGCCAATGCTGGACCTTTCTGGTCTCAGCTCTAGCAGCTGCAGTGTCACATGCACCTGCTGTGCCTGAATCCTCCCCTCTTCCTGCCCAATAACAGAGTGCTTTGTATTATGTGAACCCATTTACAAAATAACAATCCTTCTGTAAATAAACAGCAGAGAGGAGGAGTGGGCAGAGTTTCTGCTGTTTATCCTGTCAGAGCACCGGGAGTCTAGTGATAGCTGTACTCCCAGCTCTCCGTAAAAACTGTCAATTATAAAACCAGCACAAGTATCTGAATTCCTAGAGTTCGGCTTAAATGGATAAGTTCACCTTTTCAGTCAGAATTTACCACTGTATAATAAATAGAAGCATTTTCATATGCCATTTCTGGCCCAGCCATCCCAATGTTCTTTTCTCTCACTTACCTTATCTACAGGAGGTTTATTTCTTGCCAGTTTATTTGAATTTTTGAACTGATTTTCAGATTCCATCACTTCCTGTAGATCAGTGGTTCTCAACCTTTCTAATGCCGCGACCCCCTTAATACAGTTCCTCATGTTGTGGTGACCCCCAACCATAAAATTATTTTCATTGCCACTTCATAACTGTAATTTTGCAGTGGGAGGAGTAGTGCCATGTCATTGGTGTCAGTGGAAGGAGTAGTGCCCCATCACTGATGTCAGTGGGATGAATAGTGCCCCATCGTTGGTATCAGTGGGAGGAATAGTGCCCCATCGTTGGTATCAGTGGGAGGAATAGTGCCCCATCACTGATGTCAGTGGGATGAATAGTGCCCCATCACTGGTGTCAGTGGGAGGAATAGTGCCCCATCACTGATGTCAGTGGGATGCATAGTGCCCCATCGTTGGTATCAGTGGGAGGAATAGTGCCCCATCACTGATGTCAGTGGGATGAATAGTGCCCCATCACTGGTGTCAGTGGGAGGAATAGTGCCCCATCACTGGTGTCAGTGGGAGGAATAGTGCCCCATCACTGGTGTCAGTGGGAGGAATAGTGCCCCATCGTTGGTGTCAGTGGGAGGAATAGTGCCCCATCGTTGGTGTCAGTGGGAGGAATAGTGCCCCATCGTTGGTGTCAGTGGGAGGAATAGTGCCCCATCGTTGGTGTCAGTGGGAGGAATAGTGCCCCATCGTTGGTGTCAGTGGGAGGAATAGTGCCCCATCGTTGGTGTCAGTGGGAGGAATAGTGCCCCATCGTTGGTGTCAGTGGGAGGAATAGTGCCCCATCATTGGTGTCAGTGGGAGGAATAGTGCCCCATCATTGGTGTCAGTGGGGGGAGTAGTTCCCCATCATTGGTGTCAGTGGGGGGAGTAGTGCCCCATCATTGGTGTCAGTGGGGGGAGTAGTGCTCCATCACTGGTGTCAGTGGGGGGAGTAGTGCCCCATCACTGGTGTCAGTGGGAGGAGTGCTCCATCACTGGTGTCAGTGGGAGGAGTAGTGCCACATCACTGGTGTCAGTGGGAGGAATAGTGCCCCATCATTGGTGTCAGTGGGGAGGAGTATTGCCCCATCATTGGTGTCAGTGGGAGGAGTAGTGCCCCATCATTGGTGTCAGTGGGAGGAGTAGTGCCCCATCATTGGTGTCAGTGGGAGGAGTAGTGCCCCATCATTGGTGTCAGTGGGGGGAGTAGTGCCCCATCATTGGTGTCAGTGGGGGGAGTAGTGCCCCATCATTGGTGTCAGTGGGGGGAGTAGTGCTCCATCACTGGTGTCAGTGGGGGGAGTAGTGCCCCATCACTGGTGTCAGTGGGAGGAGTAGTGCTCCATCACTGGTGTCAGTGGGAGGAATAGTGCCACATCATTGGTGTCAGTGGGGGGAATAGTGCCCCATCATTGGTGTCAGTGGGGGGAGTAGTGCCCCATCATTGGTGTCAGTGGGGGGAGTAGTGCCCCATCATTGGTGTCAGTGGGAGGAATAGTGCCCCATCACTGGTGTCAGTGGGGGGAGTAGTGCCCCATCACTGGTGTCAGTGGGAGTAGTGCCCCATCACTGGTGTCAGTGGGAGGAATAGTGCCACATCATTGGTGTCAGTGGGAGGAATAGTGCCCCATCATTGGTGTCAGTGGGAGGAATAGTGCCCCATCATTGATGTCAGTGTGGTGGAGGGGAGAATAGTGCCCCATCATTGGGGTCGGGGGGGGGGGGAAATAGTGTCCCATCGTTTGTGTCAGTGGGGGGAGGAATAGTGCCCCATCATTGGTGTCAGTGGGAGGAATAGTGCCCCATCATTGATGTCAGTGTGGTGGAGGGGAGAATAGTGCCCCATCATTGGGGTCAGGGGGGGGGAAATAGTGCCCCATCGTTGGTGTCAGGGGGGGAGGAATAGTGCCCCATCGTTGGTGTCAGTGGGGGGAGGAATAGTGCCCCATCGTTGGTGTCAGTGGGGGGAGGAATAGTGCCCCATCGTTGGTGTCAGTGGGGGGAGGAATAGTGCCCCATCGTTGGTGTCAGTGGGGGGAGGAATAGTGCCCCATCGTTGGTGTCAGTGGGGGGAGG